CCTTTACGGACTTTTCATGTTGTCTCACGGGTGTGGCATGGGATTATGAGTTATGCCCGACACGCCGCTAAGCGGACTTTGCGCACGCGGACCCGAGGAGTGCGAGAAATGTCCACAGTCCCCATTGCAAAGCAAGGGCCAAGGTTCAAAGGGTGTGTGGCTTAGTGATGATTGACATGGATATGGGTGTGTGTGGACGGATGACTCTTAGACACCGCGAAGCCGCGAAGCTTAGAAAGATCCACCCAAAAGGCTGCCACGGCACATCGATTTGCACAGGGCCCCTGTACCTTTCTGTCTTTTCATACTGGATGACATGACTGACGACACGTCTCGTCTATCCCGCAGCGAAACATCCCCGTCCGCGGCCCCGATGGAGCGGGCGGACGTTACGGAAGTCCATGTCAATCCCCGGGCTTGGGTACCTCAGTCAGGCCGCTACTTGACGGCCATGGCGCAGGTACCTCCTGTATTATGTGTACCCGAACTGGGCAGGCGGAGGTTCACTGCCCTGGATTCTTCCATGCCGTGTCCCTCAATAGGTACTTTGTTAGAGTTATCACAGCGACTGCATCTTCCGGCTAGGTATCAATACCTGCTACCAGTACCACTCTCAATCTTACTGGCAGTCTTACACTTCTTCTCCTCAATGGCGCAACAACCCCATTACTTTCACCATAACTCAGATCGAAACATGCTCAACTGTAAGGTAAGCACTGCCAGCACACGCCTGGAGTCGCAATTTCACACAGGGCTGGCGTGGGCGATTCATAATCGCAGGCTGTTTCGAGGTCCGTAAGCAGCCTGCAAATGTGTGTTTGATTAGAAACCCGGTGCCATTAGCGTTGACTCTTCAGCCTACCACAGTCGTTAATCTGGCCATGTCCGTCTAGCTCCGCTAGAACCACGACAAATCCGAGGATGGATTTACAAGCCTGCTCTTCAGGAACCTTACCTAAGGCAGATGCATTTCTCAGCATTGAGCGAACCTTATTCGTCCTTTGCGCCCTATCGGTGTCGCGATCACGTCTGACTCCGACACGGCGATGACTCTCGCTACAGAATCGATTTCCTAGATGGGATAGGCAGAGATCGAGGTGTGACCCTGATTTACAAACGCTGCATGCTGGCTCAGCAACAACATACCGATACGGACGGGAATTTGTATTATGTCCATGCATCCATCAAGACCAAATCCAAGACAACATTTTGCATCCCGTGCCTCCCTCCAAAGTTAAGTTTCCGTCACGACGATAGGGAGTATGACCTTCAGTCCCCTACAGTGAATACCCGCTGAGCCCAGCCCAGTTCAATTTGATGCTTATGCACCCACGATTCGCCAAAATCAAATTCGTAACGATTGTTTGAGTATGCTCCACGTCAATGTTGGCGAGTTTCACGTAGTGGCTGATTGATCAGTACAGATTGCGTATTCCGCTTCGCATCGTATACCCTGAGGCATAACTCCGCCTCATATGCTTGTCGTCAGCAGCCAAGGAATCATAGGGCATACTGCTAAAGGGGAGCTTGTTCCAGACAGCGAACTCAAGCGAAAGCGAGAGTGTATACCATGGTAGGGCATCGTCCAGTAACAACGCGCGATGGTCACTGTGCCGCGGGCCTGGCGCAGTCCGTGGGGAATATGTACGTCCTCGTCGACGTATTGCTGTAATCAATCGTAGGGCTGAGCTCAGTCGGCCGCCATCTAATCCATGCATGGATGTCGGCTTTGTTATTAAAGACCGAATTACGGTATACGAGCTAGTGATAGCCAGCAGGCCTGTCAATCACCACCGTTACGTTCAATGATAACGAGCAACAAGTAATCCAAATCCCTATATTCCTGCAACCGGTGCCTCATGGTCACTTGATAGGCTTTAACCAGGCAACTCTGAATCTGTTCTCGCTTTTGTCGTTTGGAGATCTAAGTCAGCACCAACTTGTTGTTGTATTGCTAGCATTGGATGTTTGTGTGTTATGATTGCCTAGTGTTTTCAAAGGTTAGGCACCTCTTTTCTCGCAGGTATTTTCCCGCCAGATACATCATAGATATTCCACAGCTACTAGGTAGGTAGGCAGTACCTCTTATCCTTGCTATGCGTATGCTCATGTGAAGTAAGCAAATTTATTGCATCTAATCCGAATATCCGTGAAGGCAGTCGTTCATTAGCTTTGATTCCCTCTTTTCTCGTTGCGGCACTCTTGACTCGGCTACACGGCTAACCTTAAGACGGCCTCTTAATCGGCCCAAGATGATGCCGACTCAGAAGAAGCCATGTTATTGCCGGACTAGGCCGGCCTATCCTGAATCCCGAGGTCGCCGACCACTAACCGTCCGTGACTGTCCGCTGGGCGGTCTAACGACGGGATTGACAAGAGTCACAGATTTTCTAAGCTCCGCTTTTCTGGAAACATTTTTCGTTCTTTTTCGCTTCCATCGCCGAAAGGAGCTCAACGATGGGTCGTACGGTGCCTCGCTAATCAACATCAGCCAGCTCGGCGGTACTCAAATCGCGGATTTAAAGAATGGGTCTCTGTTGGTGTCGGACAACTCCTTGGGGTGTTCATTGGATGCAGATTTCTTCGATTCATGTTCCACTGGAAGTTCCAGCCATAGATGTGATGCAGGTTGGGAAATGATCCCAATACGTCCATCCACTCGGCTTCGGCCGATGTTCGAAGCATTTTCTTCTGCATGGATCCTGGTTTTGGGATGATTTGATATCATTTGACTCATCAAGCCTCAGAACAGGTGCATCGTAACTCGTACTCAAAGGGGTTTAACACCGACTAAATTCCGCGTATTCCCATGCCAATATGACACATCGCAACAGCTGCTGTAAATAACACAAGGCTCAGACTGTGCTTCACACAGAGGACCATAATTGGCGAGACTCATCGGTCGTATGCGGACCATTGACCGCTGATCTGGTTAAGGTTGTCCACAACACAGTCAGCATCACAGCTTCGAAGGGCGGAGATGGATGAGAGTCACGACCATGGGCTCAAAGAAGCCCGCCAGCCAGCGCCTGTCTGAGGCTCAGGCTTTAGGCCCAGGGACATGCGTTAGCGTTGAAGCTTTCCAGGCCCATGCCGAATTTGGCTCATTAAGCGGATGGTTCCTAATCTGCTTTGTCAGTCAATTCCACCACCATCTTCTCGGCCGAGGCTGATCAGGGGGTGTGCGTATCAGCACTGAGAACCTGCGAGACTGATTCCTAATCCGAGTATTGATAATATCATTGCTGAGTGAGAAGCTTCTACAAACTACGATTCATCCTTTTATTTCCTCTCTCTTGGTAAATCCTAGATTGCGGACCTACTGCTTATCTCAAATTATCTTGAAAATATGGTTGTGCGAGGGTATCTGCCGCGAAGTAAGGTTGGTTGAAGTTTTCTGTCCTTGTGACCGACTTTCTACGGACAATTTTCGCTTTCGGGTGCACGAAACATGCCGAGCCCACTTGCACACCCAGACAAGCACCTACGTACATATCAATCCGATCAGATCAGTGGGGGGATACTCACGACAATCTTTGCGCAGCTCACGGATTTCGTAGTGGCCGATCTACCGAGAACGTGGGGAAACAGACTAGGAACCTGGTAGGTATGATTCCAGTTCTCAATTCTTTATTAAACCCCGGCGATGGTGTTTACATACATACATCTAGCCCCGAAGGATCCGTCGTCCACTGTCGCAATTTTAGACAACCCCGTAAATTCCGATTTGCTTGACGATGTTGTCATATGTATTGATTTGTGAGGGACCATGAATTTATTGCTCAGACGACTGTGTTGAAATATGTCGATGATTCCGAACTCGGGTTCAAAGTTAGTGTTGAACTCGATGACGTTAACGGTCGAATGCAGTTGATCATGTCATTGACCCGCCAAGATTCATGGCCTACAAAGACAAAGCCAGGCGTCGTCGGGCTCAGGAACAACGCCACAAGTTACGTCGTCAGCGACAAATGTAATAGTTAGACCACGCGATCTGGCGCTGTCGCATCTCTTACCCGGGAGAGACCAGCAACACATCGATCACACAATTCGCCTGATAGCAAAGCAATCGGGAAGGCAGTTCGAGGATTTTGTCATCTGGCTTGGCTCAGGTTGTCCTAACCTACGTCACTCCAGGATATGCGTTGATCGACGAAATTTTCTGATCATCAAGTCCACTCTAGGTAGTTACCACTGCACTGAAGATCGGATCGATAAGAATGACGCAGGAGAGTAGTTCAATATCAATAAGCATTTCTGTAAGGCTATTCAGCGAGTCCGACCTGAGATACGAAGTTTATGATCAGAATCCCGGATAGACACCTTAGCAGCTGATGATAAAACGGCAATGTCGGGCAATTATCAGCAAACCGGTGCGACGTGGACGCATATTGCCATTTCCAGTCCAGTACCTGTCACTTACGACAGAGAAACATAAACCTGATTTGACCTAGGCGAGAAGCAGCCGATTCTACTCGGGTTTGCGGAGGATCATCACAAGCTCAACATATATAGTTGTGGACGGCACTCGTCATCTGCTCGCGACGGGCGCGGGTGATTAACAACCGAAGCTTACAGATTGTATCGGCAATTCGTTCCAAGCCTCCATTTGAATTGGCTATTTTGTCACTTGGCTTTAGAACCTACATTATCTTAACATTAACTATATAGCTTTAAGGAGTGTATATATCTATTAAGTATTAATAATTAAACTGTTGCCTATACCGTTTCTAGAAAGGAGTTTATATTTAAAAAGATCAGGCATTTAGTTAAGACTTAAGTATAAGATATATTATTAAATATATATCTATATAAACTTAAGTATATATTATATATCCTTTAGATAAGTAAGTAAAAAAATATAGCTTAATTTATATAGTTTATAATATTATTAAAAATAAATAAATAATATACTAATGGGATTATAGAGACTGGCGCTTATTTTTCGGTTAAGTTGCCAAGGAGCCTTATATACTGAGAATTTCCACCGTCGGCCGTGAGCCCCCATGGTGTAGTGGTTTATCACGCAGCTCTTATATGTCCAAGACTTCATGGAGGTATGCTGAGGTCGCGAGTTCAATCCTCGCTGGGGGCACCAATTTACCTTTTTGCACTTTTTGCATCCCAATTACACATCAAAGAAGTTAATCCTAAATTCTATGCAAAGAGTTGATATGGGATACCTGGTTGTTCTTTTGGCATGGCTTTCATTACTATAAGGATGTGCAGGTCGGTGGAGCCCTGCCCGTACGCAAATGTCTAAATGAGATGGACTATTAGACTCTTGAAATCGATATTAAAAATACGCTTTTGTCTATCCATTTGAATCTAGAGAATCCAATAGCTTATTCCACTCGTAATTTTTGCTTTATGCGCTTTCGCTTGCCACCGACTTCCCTCCCTTCCTCCACCTCCAATAAGGCCTCGCGTTTCTTCTCTGACACGATCTTGAGGGCATCGCGAACCACACGAGTCTCGAGGTTGACGCCCTCTTCCTCCCAAGATTCCATATCACGGCCGACACGCTTCTCGATTGTAAGGGCCAGTTCCACGTCACGCTGACCCACAAAGCTGACTGCCTCACCTTTGCGACCCGCACGGGCTGTACGACCGACTCGATGGATGTAGTCATCAGGGTCGCGTGGGAGATCATAGTTGATAACAAGGCTGACTTCAGGAATATCCAAACCACGAGCGGCAACGTCGGTTGCTACAAGGATACGCGCCGCTGAGGCGCGGAATCGAGCCAAGTTGTCGATTCGCTGTCTTTGGGGAAGTTTAGAGTGTAGAGAAGTAACTCGATGATCAAGCATTCGCAGAAGGTGATGAAGGTAGTCGGCTGTCGAGGTTCGGTTGCAGAATAGGATGGCAGTTTTGTCGACATTGGCTTCGGTGAGCAAAAAGACGTGGAGATAGTGCTCCTTGTGAGTGACGGGTGTCTTGATATACATCTGTTTCAAGGTTGTAGGTATAGCCAATGTCTGCGTGTCAACCTCACACACGAATACTGGTTGCTTTCCAGGCTTGATTGGCATGTCCTTGAGAGCTCGAACTTCGGGAGTAATAGTAGCAGTAAACAGAAGCGTCTGTCTCTCGGTAGCTGGGGGAAGAACAGAGAGGCACTCTTCCACGTCAGGAAGCATACTGCCAGGCCCATTGGCGTTGAGAAGGCGATCAGCTTCATCAAGAACCACGTATCGAACTCTCCTCAACCCGCAAATGGTGTCCTCTCCCGAAGTTCGAATGTGATCCGCGAGACGACCAGGGGTTGCAATTATCACATGCGGCCGCTTTCCGATCTCAATGGCCTGTGTGCGCATATCTGAGCCTCCTGTCACCAAGATCGCCTTGAGGCTCTGAGGAGAAGAAATGGCCTTGAACTGCTCAAAAATCTGCAGCGCTAGTTCTCTTGTTGGTGTTAAGACGATAGCAAAGATGGCAGTAGGATCCTCTGACCATTTCTGCAAGATAGGCACAGCGAACGCTACTGTTTTACCGGAACCTGTTCGACTACCACCGATACAATCCCTGCCTCTCAAGATCTCGGGAATACAGCCCTTTTGAATCCCCGTCGGCCGTTTGATAGCCATATTTGCTAGTGACTGTACCAGCCATGGTCGCACGTCGAGGGAAGAAAATGTGGTATTTGGGTCGGTGGGAGCCTGAATAGAGTTCTTGGGTGTAACTAAGGCTTTAGTTTGAGCCTCCTTCTGGTCGACTTGAACGGCTCGCTTGATTCGAGACGGGACCTTAATAGTAGAAAGGACTCTCCTCAACTCGTGGTCTTCCTCGTCCTCGTCTTCGATCTTGTCACCTTCAATCTGGGGCAATTCTGTTGTCCTCCGGCGTTTTCGAGATGTGGCGCTGTCGAGGTAGTCAGACTCGTCAGAGGATGAGGCGGCATCATACAAAAATTCGTCGTCTGACGCAGCAGTCGCACGTTCGGGATCGGCAGGCGGTACCATGATTCGGGTTTATTATAGCAGTAGCCAATTTGATCCTTTCAAAGACCAACCTCCCAAGCTAAGGTAGGTATGCAAAGTTGGACTGGGAATTTTTGGCGGTGACAGGCGTCGCAAAATCGTGGGATGGGCACCTTTGACCCACTTTGGGCGCCACATGCAGACTGTCACCTAAACGCGCGCTTACAGCAATGGGGCATGCCACTAAAAATGCGATTTAAAAGGCTAACGATCCCTACGACATTCACCTATCGCGAATAGATTGATGACCGACTCCATTGTTTTCATCTTGGATTATCTAGTCATCTAGGGGAGGAAAGAAGATACAGGTCCTTAATCCTAAATAATAAAAAGACTTAGGTAATATAGCCTAAGCTTAAAATAACTCTTACTAAATTTATTTTAATACCTTACAGTAAGGTTTGCTGTTTTCTTGCCTCCCGAGGGTTATGTACCAATCATGACTAGTCTTATAATTCCGATAATGATAGAAAACGTATTTGAAGTCGACACTCGGGCGCCTGTTTTGCGTCACACACCTGTAGGATCACCCGTAATACCACAGGGTTCCTGTGACGAATAGGGAGACATGCCTGGGATGTGTTCAGCTGCGACGTAGCTAGGTGATGTGACAGTCATTGTGTTTCGCCATCTGATTGGGTTTGTAGTAGGTATTATGTTTTGATTGTCAATTGACTTCACAAACAACCTGTCCGGGGTCCTGGTGTTTTTCCAAATATCTAGCTCAGGGGCTTCCCAGGGTGACATTTTAACTTGTCACCTAAGAATCAGTATGTTTTGTCTTACGACCACGATATTGCATATTACACTCAAAAGCTTTACGAATTAGATGCTGACCGAGGGCTTGAAGGATCTCCTCATTCCTACCTAGCCTTGAATTGCGGTTGGACCACGTTGATATGGGACAAGCGCTTCCGATGCAACTGACCCATGATGGTGCGAATCAACAGCTCCACTACCTACTAGGTTTGATGCCATGGAGTACTGTAGCCTGACTCTGAATTTCGAAACGAGGATGTGGAGGTTAAGTCGGCATCGGAATATGAATGAGACCAAGTCAAACTGCACCGTTAGTACACCGACGGTTGGGGGCCATAGCAAAAAAAACCTGAAATACTGCAGAGTGTGACGACGAGAATGACGGTGTGTGTGCAACCCAGCTATGAACTTGACAATGAGCTCATGGCTTTATGTGCCTGGATCCATTGTCTTTCAAAAGACCATGTCCAATATTGATATTCATTCTTTCACGATAGGTGCATTAAAAAACCCCGGCATGATAGATCGCAGAAGAAAGAAGAAAGAACCGAATCACGCCAACAACGGCCTGTAGATTCATCCCACCATTCATCCCACTGATGGCAACCCTTGGATTTTATATCGGGTGGCTTGGCTTCAGGTTGCTAGACTTCAGTTGCATTGGATGCGCGGTATCACAGTGTAAACATACTCACAACTAGATAGGGTGATAGTCAGGTAACTGGCCATCCTATCCCAATACACCTACCTACCTATAAAGTAACTTACCTCGGTCTGTGTTGTGGTTGTAACCCGTAAGAAGTAATCAAGCGCGTGTTGTATTGAGCAAGTTCCTAAACCACTTCAGATGAGTTTGGCGAGAATCTGAGACATATCTCAAAACTACCTGGAAAGCCCACCAGCTTCCCATCCCTCCCCCTCAAGTCTACCTAAGTTTTCCAGGTTAGTAGGTACCACCTAAGGCAAAATACTGGGCTAGGTACTTGGAAGCCCAATCAATCACTCAACGCACCCGCGCCGCAAACAAAATGGAGAGCTCCCCGCTCGTGCATATGTGCTATGTACTACCCCCAAGGGCCCTGTGCATCTTCCACTGAGCCCTACCAGCCTAGGGGTAACAGATGCCCAAGCGCCCCGCCCTTCCTAGTCTCAGTGGCAGTCACAGTCACAAGCCCGCCCACCCAGACCCGATCCAATCAATAGCATCTATGGTGGACGCCATTCCCAGCTTACACGTCCTCTTTTCTCTAGCTCTCGCCCTCTCATATGATCTCATGTCCTTTCTCATCTTTTCCTCCTGCCGTTTCGGATTCACTCGACGACGTGTCGTTCGTTGCCACGCCTTTTTTTGGTCAGCTTAGGCCCTGTCTTGCGACGTTTTCTTGGGCATAACAACATTACCTAGTATATCTACGAAGTCTACCTCACCTACTACCTCTAGTACTTACCTCTATACACCTAAACGCCGCCAACCATACTTTCCCCGCTCTTTTGCGTGGGCTCTTGTTACTCCTGCGGCTACCTGACTTGGTTCTTTGACGACGACATTCGTACCCTTTTCATTCTCAACTACCTGAAGCAGTCGGTTCAACCGATTCCCAACATTCGCTATTGCTGCTATTGCCAATACTCGACGTTGAATTGTTGCAACCCCATATCTGTGTTCATACTTACGACGACGCTGGCCGCTCGACGACGCTTACTCCTCACATCCGACTATCACAATCGTCTCTGGTTGATACCACCCTCCCTAGGAGAGACTTCGTTTCAGAACAAAGAAATCACTTTCCATCTGATCCCAACAAGACTTCATATTGTGTACACACTGTTGGAACCCTCGTGTCACCAGCGCAACAGCGAATATGGCCGACCAACAGCCTCAGAGTTCTGATTCGACTCCACTACCCGTACGCTCTCCTGATTGCTCTTCCTTGTCTTAATGTCTAACTCACGAATTATAGCAACAGCCTGCTGCTCCCACTCCAATTTCTCTGCCAACACATAACTCGGGCCCTTCTCCCGTGCCTCTCCTCCGACCCGCCATTCCTGGCGCCAGAAGTGGTGGAGCTCGTACTCCCAGGCTTGGCCTCGCTATCCCACCATCACCTAATGCCAAAGCTGTAGGCAATCAAGGAGCAGCCGCGGCTGCACCTTCAAGGCCCCCTTTGCCGACACTACACCTAGCAACCCCCATGGGTAGTCAAGTCACACCCCATGAACAATTACCACGATCCCAATGTGCAGCCCAAGCATCGGCAGGTGGTGGTAGTGAAAGTAGCGCGGCTCACTCAAGGTCTGGCAGTTTTGGCCCTCTAGATGGACGGGCGAGCAATCCCACTTCTGCAGGATCTCAGTATTCCGCTTTGTCCTTTGCTTCGCAGTATGGTATAGGTGTATCAAGACCTCAAGGTACTCCGGATCCGGTATCTGCTGTGGGATCTATGTATTCCGAGAGAAGCGAGGGCGGGGTATCTATGGAGCGTGATGGAAGTCTTCAAGGTTTGGAGGCATTCGATAAACTAAGCCTTGAGAAAGCCAGGACTCTAGATGTTGATGAGCTCGACGAGGAGGGTTGGAGAATCGCAAGTTTGGAGAAGAGAATTGTCGAGATTGGAAATCTAGGTGAAGGTGCTGGAGGTGCTGTCACAAGATGCAAGCTCAAGGGTGGGAACACGGTTTTTGCCCTCAAGGTGAGTTATTTCGACCATAAGCCACAGTTCGAATACTGACGTTTCAAGGTCATCACTACTAATCCGGACCCCGACGTCAAAAAGCAGATTCTCAGAGAGCTGGGATTCAACAAAGAGTGCGCTTCAGACCACATATGCAAGTACTATGGAGCCTTTGTCGACCCAGCTACAGCCACAATCTCAATTGCAATGGAGTTTTGTGAAGGCGGTTCGCTTGATAGTATTTACAAGGAGGTCAAGCGTTTGGGGGGCAGAACAGGAGAGAAGGTTTTAGGAAAGATCGCCGAGGGCGTTTTGGGCGGCCTCACGTACCTGCATACTCGACGAATCATTCACCGAGACATCAAACCTTCGAACATCCTGCTCTGCCGAGATGGTGCCGTGAAACTTTGCGATTTTGGTGTCTCTGGCGATTTCGGTACTAAGGGAGAGGCCAATACTTTTATCGGCACCAGCTATTATATGGCACCTGAGCGTATCACCGGACAGTCCTATACTATTACTTCGGATGTTTGGTCAACCGGAGTTACCCTTCTCGAGGTTGCGCAGCATCGTTTCCCGTTCCCAGCAGACGGCACAGAAATGCAACCGCGGGCTGGTCTTATAGATTTACTCACATACATCGTAAGACAGAACGTGCCCAAACTGAAGGACGAACCTGAAATGGACGTGTATTGGAGTGACAACTTCAAATATTTCATTGAGTGCTGGTAAGTACCCCCCCCCCCCCCCCCCTCCTTTAGGGGCGTGTGCTAACATTGTCTGAGTTTGGAAAAACAACCCAACAGACGAGCCAGTCCTTGGAAGATGATGGAGCACCCATGGATGGTTGAAATGCGCTCCAAGCGTGTCAACATGGTGAAATATCTTTCTTTTGTCTGGGGCTGGGACGAACAACCTAAGGACTCTTAGAAAGATATACAACGAGCTCAAGCTTCGGAGCAGCAAGTTGTTAAAGCAGCACAGGATGTCAAATAATGGAAGGAGATCAAGGCGGTACAAGTTCTCGCAAAAGTAGACGAATTGGTGAAGTTGGTCTTTGAAGAAGCAAATCGAAGAAACGGCCATGCAGCATAAACGCTTCACAGAGGGCCATGAACGAACCAGAAAAGGCCACATTCCCCATCAGCCGTTTACACTACGCCCACGATTGTGTGAACAGAGGCCGCGGTCTTCGTTGTGAGCATAGCTCTTTAAATACATCGTCGCTGATGTTTGTTTCATGATAAAAAACTATGGGCTCAAGAATGAGTGCGCATAAACGGCCGGACCAGCCTGCAGTAAGTAGCTTCAGAAGACCCTCCTGTGGCATTATCATGTCCTCAGTAGTAGTGCATGGTTAGGATTGATGCAATGGCTACAGCCGTCAAGCTGAGGGCTACCAGAATATAGCGAGCTTCGCATTAGATGTATTTTATATTTGGCATCCAAGTACCTCAATTTTATTGTACCCCCGCTTAAATACATGGGTATCAAATTCGTGTCGATGGTCCTCTACATTTTATTATTCGAGATATACAACACCTGCTTTTCAAGTGTCCCTGGTCTCGGTATCCTCAGTAGGGTCGCCCATGAGCTCGCGTAACGCAATAGTTGCGTATGCACTGCGTCCAAGTTGAAACTTAACTACCACCGCAACCTTTGTAGGTTCTTGAGAAGCAGGAGCCGCTTCAGGGGCAGAGCCATCATCTGGTGTCTCTGCTTGGACATATGTCATCTCAACCTCTGTAGAAGCGGGCGTACCATTTTCAACCTTCGTTTTCTTGACTGTCGAGCCGGAGTCAACTTCTCCATGAGAACGCTTCCTGCTAGGACCCTTCGAAGCTTTGATATTGTCCAAGTCAGTTGGGTGCATTTGCTCTGCATCATCCGAGTAGGCACGGACCTCAGCGGAGGGCGTGGAAAGGAATCGGTTCATGATTTTGCGGTATCGGCCAGGCAGACTGAACTCGCGGCGCATACGGCGCATTTTGTAGGGGTCTAGATTACCATTCTCGTCGCGACCCATGAAATCCTTGTAGAATTCCCCGATATCGTTCTCAGGATAAACGACGTCGTAGCCTGGTGTTGGCAGCACAACGTCGAAGATGGTGTAGTTACCACTGGCGGCTTCTTCGGCGGTAAGGGGACGAGCGCGAACGGGAGCATCTTCGTCGTCTTCGACAGGGTTGATAATGTCATCACCGTCTTGGTCCTGGCCGCTGACAAGAGGCACACTCTCCGTCGGAGCGATAATGAGATCGCCAGCAATCACATTCTCGCCGTGAAGCTCCCAGCGACGACTGGCGGCATGATTCCAGATATAGGACTGATAGGCATGAAGGTACATGGAGCGCAAGCCACGAGTGATGTGAACCAGAGAGCCAATGAAATCACGTCTAGACTGAGCGCCCTGCCGGTTCAGATGTCTGAAGATGCTGTTTTCGGCAGAAAATCGACGAGGCATGAGCTTGATGGCTCGGTCGACATCTTTGTCTGTAAGGAAGAGCATGCAGGCCTGGTTTCGCAAATACTCATCTCTCTTGGAGGGTTCGTCGGGAATATCACCCGCCTCAGCCCTCTGTGCAATCTTATCATCGTAATGGAGTAGTGACATGACTGCTTCTTCGTACTTGTCCCCCAGGATGAGTTGCCCAATCTGGTGTGTACCGACTTCGTGAGTTCCGAAGCGCTGGTGACCAAAATAGTTGATCCAGCCGTGTTCATTCATATGACTCAAAGCCTGATCAACGTTCTTCTTCAGCACTTCTACCCGCTGGGCAATGGGCTGGTCGTTGGACTCGCCAACTATTTGACAACTCTTGATCGCAATCACGAACTCGTTGCCAAGAAGCTGTCCGAGATAAATTGGCTTGTCCTTATAGTCGTAATCTCCCGTAGAAACACCCCAGATCCTCCCATTGATACCAGCGAGGTTTCGTGGCCGCATGTATCGCACCGAGCATTGTTGCACTGTAGAAGCTCTGCGGTCTTTGGTACCGGCGTATCCGATGACCTGGGGCTTGACCTTGAGGAAACGAGCAATCTGATTCACAGCATCCATTGTGTCGCGGTTCTCCTTGAACAGAGTAAAATGCAGGTATTCACCGGCAGGCTTTTCCTCACGGCCACCACCGCGGCCACCGCGGCCGCGCTTCTTGCTGTTGGCTTTTCGTGGGGGAATAAGAGTTGCGACAATAGCACCTTCGTCAGTTGTGTTGGTATCTATCCGAGACTTAAAGATGCGCCGGATCTCTTGGTGAACTTGGCCACGCTTTGCCCTATCGTCCATGGGCTCCGATGTAACAGACTTCCTCTTCTCGTGGTCGGCGCCATGACCAGACCGATATACTCCAATCAGCTCCTGAGAGAATCGCTGATCAGTCAGACCCTCAAGAATGGTGGCATCCTCAGGTGAGACGTCGTTGACCGCCTCGGGCTGAGGTGCCGACTCGGGTCTCGTAGCGGTCTCACTGGATGGTTGCTTCAAGGAATCTTTCGCAGGCTCATCTGTTTTCGTTTCCTGGGCTGTAGACTCGCCGTTGAACTCTTTATTCACTACAACCGCCTGAGAAGAACTTAGTGAGTGCGCTAGGAAAGCTGTAGAGTCCGTTTCTGCTTACCGGTGCCTCTTCATCTGCCAGGCCGACTTGTTGTAGGTGCAGGACTGTGCCGTCTTCTTTGATCTCATTGACTTGAAAGTCCGAGAATCTGCATTGCGTTAGTCTCTCAATTGCTGGCATCACCATGACTTCAATGTTCACCTTGTCCGCATTTCACCAGTCCATGGTGTCGCGAGTGGTGTCACACGCTGGCTAATTCCTATGGATCGTGTATAAGACGCAGTGCCACGCACCGCGTGATGAGACTGCTCCGCCATTACGAAGACTTGGACTGCAATATAGACGTATATCAACTCTGGCGAAAGCTTGCGACAGATGTGTTTGCTTCCGCTTGATGGTTGAATCAACTGGTGGGGGCACCTTTGCGATCTGTAATTTTTCCCCCGGCAGTATTTCATCTTAGATTCAAATCAGAAGGCGGTGAGTCGTATCTTATCAACCAGAACATGGTGTGCGGCGCCTCAAAAGGCAGGCGGTCGAAGATACGTATTTGCCAACCTAATGGAGGGCAGCCTCTTGTCAAAATCTGTCTGTTTACCAGGCTGCCGAAAAGTTGAACTGGATAGAGAACAGATGCCAAGGAAGTATGTGCTATGGTGTTTGGCTGTTGATGGTTTTATTAAGTTAACTTGATGCTCATTATAAGTTTTCTCGAATTTCGTATCAAGACCAGCTAGCATGCTAGCATGCAAATGGTGGAGAGGCAAGGTGAGGCATGAAGACTTAATACCTGCATCCCTATCACGAGCAGCAAACAGGTTCAATTACCTAATTTACAATAACGTAGACTTAATGTAATAGGTCTTGAGACCAATCAATTTGTACAACTTAGCTTAGGGTCGGAATTTTCATGTTCTCTGATGAGGGATGAAACTTATCGTTAGGATTCTGTTCACGCCTGGATTTTTAAGAGGCACACAACTTTGGCCTACCATAACTTAGTACCTTGTCGCGTACTCTACATTTCATTGTAGCGATACTGGAGGATGTGCACGACAGTGAGGCGGCCCGAAGGTAAGGTTAGTAGCTACTGGTTTCTTTAGCAGCATACGGGGAATTACAACGCCAATGCCTTCCTACTTAGGTAGTGTTGCAGTTCATATCTCGAACATGCGCACAATATGAAACAGTCTACCTATAGTAAGTGACTGTACATGAAGTTGATTCATGCTGGAGGTTGACAAGTTATAAGAGGACTTTTTCAGAACAGGCAGTTCATGTGGCATGATGCACCCCAGCATTCGACAGGAACTTTTACTTGTGCTGCATCCTGAAAGCCGTCTTGGGAGAGCGGACAATCATAGCTACCCTAGCCTAGGTAGTAAATCACTAACAAACCATGTCTCCTCAGCATCTCAGGAGCCCCTCTCTTGTACGAGTCACTAAATACCTAGGTAGACGCTTGGTGAGTAGCCCGCATGACAAGTTCAGCTAACCTTTTCTCTCTGCACCTAACTACTTACCTACCTAGTCGCTATGACTTATACTACCTACTTTACTGTGAGACCTCCTCGGCTGATCGGTGATGATAGTCACTTATTGGTCTACTGCTAGCTGCAAGGATCGTTTGCACACGACAAGGCGTGATCCAACCTCCCCTCCTCCAAAGTTCGGCCACCTTTAAAAATCTCCTTTATTGTCGAGGGGAAGAGTGAGGAGCAACGCCAACACACTCTTTGCTGGTTTTTGGTTATTTTTTGTTAATCCAAATTCCCTATTCCCATTTCTCCTCTTTGCTCGAGTTCTCTTCCAATCACTTCTCGCTTCTACGGTTGACTGCATTGGGCCCGCAATTGACATGTCAATCATGAGCCGTAAAGACAAAGGTCGGGAAAGACTCTGTCGTACGCAGCTTCGAGAGATCATCTGTTCTGTCTGTCATCATAACGCAAGTGCAACTGAAGAGTGACCCAGGAACGATCCACGATCAAGATGCCTGTGATAAGAAGCGGCTCAACACGGGACATTTACAAGGTAAGGACGAACGGATATCCATTTTTGTATGGGCCGTCACAAACAATTCGTTCACTACATCCCACTGAATGCTTCAATATTGTGCCCAATTCGCATTACTTTGGATGGCAATTCTCGGCCATATTCCTGAACAATTCCTTACCCACTCACAACGCTAATTTCTTTGCTTACAGGCACCCTTGTCTGCTGTCCTCCGTCGCCACGGTCGTGAGCGTCGTGAACGCTGGAGTCAAGGTGAAGACCCGGGTGACTTCATGCCTCCCCACCAAGGTGAGCTAACCCGGACACTACTCTGCGATGCGGATCTACTCACTGCCCGTAGACGAAGAGCCCAGCCATGAGCCTTCTGAATTCTCAAAGGGGAAACAACCTGAGCCCCAGCGTCTTCCATCTAGAGCTGGCTACGATACAGCTGTGCTTCTTGACTTGTGCGACACCATTCGCAGTAGCCTGCATGAGGGACGTCCCGAGGACAGGTGGGAAGAAGCCATGGGTTTTCTCGCGGCACTGCTAAGAGACGAGGAGCATTACAACCGCGCAATAGAATTCGAGACTATACGCGACACACACCTTGACAAGCTTATATCGGATCTCATCGATCCCAAATATCGCCACCCAAGAGTACCTATTAGATTTTCAAAAGATGTCGAAAGAGCAGAGGCCTTGGAACGGAAATGGGTTGAAAGGTTTCGAGGTCCCTACTTCAATATGGAGCAAAACCGCTATCGAGATCTCCCCAAGACGGGACGGCTTAGGGATGTGGCTCTGAACCCCAATGCAGACAATTCAGAAGAACGTTGGCAAGCTAAAGAAGGTAAGACCTTGTCAGAGCTGGAGGGTAATCTGGAAATCGAACCTGGGCAGTAAGAAGACCCGAACCCCATAGCAATCGAAACTTTTTGAAGGTTACTCACGCTTAAGATGCAGTTGGTGGCTCAACTTGGCTTGCGCGCATCGGGATGGTATTGTTGGTAGTGCTCGCGAGAAACCTACCAAGGGCAAATATGGAGTTGCCGCATTACCGTTGCTCACAGGGCAAGAGAAAATCGATGAAGGGGAGGGAACTCTGAAGTATGTCAGACAGGGAAGAATTACCGACATACATGTGTCGCTCATATCTCAAGTGGGAGCCACATTTCGAATCCTGCGAGGCCACCACCTCAGAAGCCCATATGCACCAAAGGTCGGCATTCGTTATGATGGTTTGTGGGTTCTCATGGCCTTTCCTACGGCTCCTACTCGCTAATAAGGCGCTAGGTATACGATACGCCGATATAGTCAATGGTTTAATGAAGTCAGCGACCGGCACCATATGATGCTCACTTTGGAAAGAGTTGAGGATCAGAAACCAATAGAGGATATTCTGCACATACCCCGCCCATCCGAGATGGATGACTGGGAGCTCTATGAGAAATATGAGGGCGAGGCGATCAAAAAGCACAAGGGAAACAAGGCCCTTCTTGACTAGAAGTTAGAAATGGCACAAGAGAAAGTCGACCGGGAGGAGTATCAGAGGTCGCATGACTTCCGAAACTCGTTGGGTTATCAGTTCAACAAAGCAGGACTTTGTTGATTTGAGGTGAAGCATGAATGATGGGACGTAGGGCTACGCTGCATCGATTGGCTTACAAGTCTAGTTCATAGCATTAATGGTAACGCTTAATTAGAGACCTCTGACATTGTCAATTCCATCATCGCCCACCGAGTTTGGAAGTGTTGATATGACTTGGTTGGCGGTTGGGTGCCTCAACTGAGGGAGGGGTATGTACCGCGTCGACACAACCTAGACAACGGAAGGAAAGCTTTCAAGGGTGCACCTCCAGCGGGGCATGTCATCCAAGTTCCACGAAACCCACCACCACTACAGCTGTGGTCCCTTGTCCTCTTACATGACACCCTCACAAACAACATGGGGAAAAACGACAAGAAGGGTGCCGACAAGGGAGGCAAGGGCAAGGCAGACAAGGGTAAAGATGCAAAAGACTCTGGCGGCAAATCCAAAGGTGCTCAGAGTATCAACGTCCGTCACATTCTGGTGAGTTTCACACAAGTGTTCACCAATTGAAGTACTGACCGAGGGTTGCATAGTGCGAGAAACATGCTAAGAAGGAGGAGGCTTTGGCGAAGTTGAACGACGGCCTCAAGTTCGATGAGGTCGCACGAGAGTACTCAGAAGACAAGGCAAGGCAAGGTGGTTCACTGGGGTGGAAGACCAAGGGTAGCCTGGACCCCAAGTTTGAGGAGGTGGCTTTTGCTCTTGAGTCCAGCACAACCGCCAGTCCGAAATTTGTAGAGTGCAAGACGGAGTTTGGATATCATATCATCATGGTAAGTTCACAACTTCTTGCACAAGTATCGATCCGAGATTAACATTATGGGAGGTCGAGGGACGAAAGTAGATGGCAGAGCTTGAGGGAGTCACGCAATCCGGCATGACTGTTACGACAGAAGCACAAGAGACAGGTTGAGGATCTAATTTGATGCCCAATTTTTTTTTATTCCTCTCAAATGCAATATGGCCATGAGATATGAGGCCTAAACCGTTTTAGATGCCAACCGAAGTGGCTAGAGTACAAGCAAAAAAGTCATGTCGAGCAGTCTCGAAACAAAGTCAAGTCCGCACCTCTAATCCTCTCCCTTCACATCCTACACCGTTTAAAGGCCCTTACTGCTCAGTCTGGAAGTAGTTGAGGAGGATAGATCGCTCCTGAGACTCCTCACCCCAGTCCTTGACGACGACGCAAGAGCAGTTGACGACCTTGCGGGCGTTACCCTCACGGTCAAGAACGCCTATAGGTATTAGTTAGTAAATCAATCCAGACCAAAGTAGATTCCATCGGGAAACGTACAGAGACCGGCCCACTCGCCGAGCTGCTTTCCATCGGGGATCTGGATCAAGGGGATGTTGTGCTCGTTGCAGAGAGCGACAACAAGCTTCTTGTAGGCCTCCTCCTCGCAGTTCTCGTTCAAGACACACATGTGTGCCTGTCGGCGATCGAGGGCCTTGGAAGCCTCACGGAGACCACGAGCGAGACCGTCGTGCATAAGAGAGAGCTTCAGGACACCCTTGAGAGCGTCGAGAATGGACATCTGGCCCTTGGGGGCATCACCGGAAACCTCAACAACATCGGCGACCTCGGGGGTGTTGTCTTCTACGTCCGACTGTCACGAGAAAATGTTAGCCAACATTTTTTTTGGATTTTTGGTGCTTCCCCCACCATCGCGAATTGACATCCGTTCGAGGTTGCAGTTGCGAGCCTCGACAGCGCAATTGACGACTAGAGGCGGCAAGACTTCAAAAACTCACCATCTTGGATAATCTTTTCTTGTCGGGCGATCCTCGAAGATTTCTATGTGTATCAAGGAAAAGTTGGAAGGGGGGGTAGAGTCGTGATCTGGGAAATGTCTTCGTTTAGTTCCACGTTGATTTGCCGAAATCTAAACGACCGAGTGCGCAGACCGACCCTTAGGGCAAGTGCACGGACCCACTATCCACACACTACACCTTCCTTTTATTTTTATTTTTTTTAACTTCCTTTCCTATCCACGTTCCTTGACTTTGTAGTTTTCATCAATCGACCAAGTAAATCTTCGAGGTATGTATACTACGAAACTCGTTCGCAGCGATCCGAATCCAGAAGGATGATGCTCTTCACCGTGGCAAGGGAGAGCAATCGAGAGCGTCGTTCTACGTGAGCCGATCTTTCAACAATGGCCGGGTACTCTTCACGGCTGGCGACAGTTCCACGATACGCTTCTCCTCTTCAGCACTGGGCGGCAGAACCCTCGCGATCGATCGTTGGGGCACTCTCCTCGCTCATGAGCCTTGGAAAGGCTAACAACTTTGTTTCATGGCAGATACCTCATTTCCCGTCCCGACTTGAGAATCTCCTCAAAACTCCGCCACAATGGTCCGCACTTCCGTTCTCCACGATGCGCTCAACGCCATCAACAACGCCGAGAAGGCTGGCAAGCGCCAGGTCCTGATCCGACCTTCTTCCAAGGTCATCATCAAGTTCCTCCAGGTCATGCAGCGCCACGGTATGTCTCGGAACTTTTCATTCATTCATTTTTTCTTCTGTATTCCTCGCCATTTGGCCTCCACTGTTCAACATGACAATGCTTGGTAGTGGTTCTTCTCACCATGATCCAACTACCATGAGTCGTCGACAACTCTCGATCTCCTTACTCGGCATGATAACTAGGGCGACGGTCGATACTGCACCACGACCCAGCCCCTATAAGTTGCCGATAGATTCAAACTCGGAGATCTTACACGTTTTTCGGATTCTTTATACCCATGATGTCTAACGTTTAGTCTCTCGAAACATTACTGATTCGATCATTAGGATACATTGGAGAGTTCGAGGAGGTCGACGACCACCGATCCGGCAAGATCGTTGTCCAGCTCAACGGCCGCCTCAACAAGACTGGTGTCATCTCTCCCCGCTACAACGTGCGCCTCTCTGAGCTCGAGAAGTGGGTTGTCAAGCTGCTCCCTGCCCGTCAGTTCGGCTATGTCATCCTCACCACCTCTGCTGGCATCATGGACCACGAGGAGGCCCGACGCAAGCACGTTTCTGGCAAGATCATTGGCTTCTTCTACTAAATGGGACGGGATGCCAATCAAAAAGTGATTTTTACAAACAAAACAGGGCATTCTCGGCGTTGAGGCAGGATGATGATGACTATGACCGATGTGATTAATAGCAATGCCGCTTATCGCACACGCGAGCACAAGAATTGAACCTATACGAGATGCTCAGACTCGAGACTCCCTACATGTGATGTGAAATTAAAGACAAATGTTCATGCTCAATCCTGACGTTATACCCATCTCGGACGGTACAATCCACCCATCAGATTGCTCTGGCTATAATTCCAGCAATCGAACCTCGTATGAATTCTATCAGCTCCAAGAGACATGGCTTTGTAATGCTGCTCGAAAATTCCATACTGGTTATCACTGGAAAATTATTGTCCAATTCTTTTCTTGGCATGGTAATCCAACAGTCAAGTCGTTGTGCCAACAACGTCCCTGTCCAGCTATTGTTTTATTTTTGGACGGTTAACCAATTAAAATGATGCAACCAACTCTAATCCACTCCTTTGTCTCATGGTCAATCTGCCGCTTCGCGCTGAGACAGACATCATGACTGGTGGTGAGTTCATGGCTACCAGGCTTTGCAATTGAATTCTTTTAGCAGATACTTTTGTATCAGCAAGCCGATGGAAATTTTAAACATACTTCCTACCATGACGATTTCGGTTTCTGTTTGACCCAGAAGCCAGCTATAAACATGATCCCCCTCTTATCGTTTCGCGCCTCTCAGCGGCGTCAATTCTTATCCATCACAGCTCTAACATTATTTTGTTTCTGCGCGTATAGTCTCTTGAGAATATCACCAAAACACACAAGAGAAATTCAAATCCAAACTCCCACTCAAACACCCCTAGAACCATCAACAACCCCAGGATCAGCGCCACAGGATGAACTTGTTCAAGGAAGCGCCGAACCAAGAAAGGTTTCCACTCCAGAAGTGCATCCTATAGGATATCTTACAAGGAATGCCCAGGAGGAGTTTGAAAAACTCAGGGCTCGACAGTCCAAGACGCTTGAAGAGGCTGTTCAGGAGTACCGTCGTCGATATGGTATTCCACCGCCACCTCTTTTTGACGAGTGGTTTCGATTTGCAAAAGACAACGACGTCAAATTGATAGACGAGTTCGACACGATTCATGATCTGATCACTCCATTCTGGGGACTAAAACCCAAGACTATCCGGACTCGAGCCAGAGAGGCATTGGGTTTTGATAACGGGCTGATTGGAGTATCCATTCGAGACCACAGGATCACTTATATACAAAATGGCGTTGAATGGCAGCAAAATGCCACGAAGAGGATGATGGGCAAATTTCTCAAGTACCTTCCAGATATGGACCTGGCCTTCAACTTTCACGACGAGTCCCGCGTTGTCCTTTCGTATGAGGACCTGACGAGGTTAATGAAAATAGCCAAAGAGCAGAACATGCCCGCAGCGTTTGCGAAATCACAACTCGCCAACGACTTCACTCAAACGAACTCGGAGCTATATGATGGGAAGTCGTTCGACGAGATAAGTCTCACACGCTTCAACTCTTTCGCCCATCAATCAACCTGGTCTCATTCTCGCCTGTCCTGTCCGCCAGATACTCCAGCTCGCTGTCTCGAGGAGGAAGAGGCTGTGGACTATAGAAACAGGTACGGCATGAGTGATCTTGGATTTGTTTACAACACGACCGCCATGTCAGACATATGCCTATCGCCCAGCCTCAAATCTAACTTTGGCTTCTTCGGTGGACCCAATACATATAGAATTGTCCAGGATTTGTTTCCCATATTCTCCCAGTCCAAGATTTCTTCTTACAGCGACCTTGTATACCCGTCTCCCTGGGACTGGGCCGGCATGGTAAAATACGAGGAGGACATGGACGTGGAGTGGGTTAAGAAGGAGAGCAAGCTATATTGGCGTGGCTCGACCACTGGGGGCTACAGCCGGAATGGCCGTTGGAGACATCAGCACCGTCAACGTCTTGTACAAAAGCTTAACGCGCGCGACCAGGCTCATATTCTCACTAAGCAAAACGGCCGTTCCTGGGCGACCAGCGAGGTCCCGCGCGGCGACTACAGCGAGATGATTGATGTGCATTTCTCTCACATTGGACAATGTGACCAAGGTGACTGCGAGGCGCAACGAGCATTTTTCAATGTCACCGAGGCTGTAGATCAGCAAGATGCTTGGTCATATAAATATCTACTTGATATGGATGGAAACGCCTTTTCCGGTCGCTTCACTGCCTTCCTTCGCAGTCGCAGCCTCACATTTAAACTCGCAGTGTTCCGTGAGTGGCACGCTGAGTGGCTCAAGCCGTGGGCACATTACGTGCCTCTGAGTATCCAGGGAGACGACTGGCTTGAGATAGTTCGATTCCTCGAGAACGAGGAAGCTGGCCGTGAAGAAGGCGAGCGCATTGCGGCTGCTAGTCGAGAGTGGGCCAAGCAGGCTCTTCGCCAGGTTGACATGGAAGCATGGTTCTTCCGCCTCATGCTTGAGTAAGTGCTATAGTCTCGTATACTTTGATCATTTTCATTCTGATACTAACATGACACAGATATGCTCGAGTGATAGACGATAAGAGAGAAGTAATTGGTTATGATCGCCGTAGCGCCAATATGAGGCTACCAAAGGTTGAGAGTTGATGAATGAATGAATGATTACACTGAGTGAATGACATATACGCATAGGGGGTCAGAGCATAGCAAAAGGCACGTATACCACTGGAAACGGCATCAAGGTTCATATTACCAACACGGGTACTGGTGTTTCAAAGGAGTGAGAGAATCATGCGTGTGTATATTATGTTGAATATGGAATAAGTTTATTACGCCTCAGATCTATGATTAAAGATTGCAAACTATACGCCACGATGCCCCTGTTCGCCAAATACATGCCATTTCCGTCCTCGCAACTCTCGATTATCTCGAGGCAAATGTCGCATAAAGGACATATGCTTTTGTTCTCGCTTCCTCTAGAGCACACCGCTTTCGCCTTAGCTATCTGCGTCGCGATAAACTACCGTTTACTCTTCGTCTTCCCCTTCTGCATCATGTTCTTCAGAGGCCGACCTCGAACGACGGGCTGCTGGACTGTGGTGTTCTCTTTCTTCCTCGCCTTCAGCATCCTGGCCCTGGTGGTGCTCCTCCTCATTTCCTTCTTCCTCATCAGCCTGTCCTGTGCCGAGGGGGTGATCGCGATGCGCCTTGATCATGTCGCGGATATCCTCTCTTGGATCCTCGACGGTGACGTCGAGTTGGTCAACAACTTGCTCCTCATCGGTAATACCAATGTTTCGCGCAATGTTCTTTGTTCGCTGGGGTCGAATCACAGATTTCTGCATAACAGGATAGTAGTATACGGCCTTCTGGTTGGGGTAGAAAGTGTCTTCGTTGTAAGCCAGGAGAACCTCTGCGTCGAACTTGGTCTCATGGTCGTAATTGGTCTCCTGAGCTGTCTCATACGCTCTGAGCCGGTTGTATTGGAAGCATCCACCATTGACAGAGTCATGAGTGTAGAGTTCGTCCTCGTTGTGGTCGGCATCCTCAACATCGAACTTGCGACGAAATTTATCCCCCACGTCAGGAGTTGCCGCCAAGTAATAGTCAAAATTCATCCAGTTCTGAGGCTTGGGGTTGTTTTCAGGATCTTGCTCATGAGCTGCCACAGCTGCCTCATACGCTTCCTCTTCCTCGGCTGTCCGATCAATGGGCCGGAACAAACCACTGAGAAGACGTCTGTCATAATCCTTGGTGCTGACCACAGGGTTCTGGTGGAATTTGATGGTAACGTACGCGCCCGAGTCGGGGAAAGCCTCGAGATCTGGGATGAAAGGCGACACATCGACAACCTTGAGATTTCTCTTGCTTGGATGTTTGGCGCGTTTGGGGTCTTTGAATTCGTGCTCAGCAATGTCGAAGCCCTTGTCAATCTTTCGCTTAATGACGTGAGGAGCATCAGCTGCAGGCTCCGGGATGCGTCGATTCTTGTTGGCTTTAGTGAGTAGAGCGCGGGGTGCAGCGCCATCTTGTCGCTTAGTGACCGTAGAAGATATGTATTCTGTCCGGCGAAGGAAGGAAACATTGGCTTCTGCGACCTTGTGTTTTCCCAAAGCGGCGATGGGTCTTAGAAGAGGTCGATCATGAGGATGAAGAGCAGGTGGGTGAGGAGGAGCCTGAATAGCTAGGGAGGCGTCAGCTTTGTGAAGTCAAAACACGATAAACAGTCAACCTACATCGTTCATCGCCATCGAAAACACCAGGCATGCCGACCAAGTCAAGGGGCATTCCCAGCTCAGCATCTGCCTCAATATTGAGCGGCTGCTCCCTCGCAAGGCGCGAAGCAAAGCCTGGTGTCGTATATTGACCGCTAGCAAGACCGGTATTAGGTATGTCGAGCAGCTTAGGAGGATGGGGTGGTGGAGGGAGCGCATTGGAGAATCGAATGCGTGCGATGAAGTCCTGGTGAACCAAGCGCTCGCCTGTGCGAGGAGCTGAAGAAGACATGCTGGTCAAATTGGCAGGGGGCGCCGAGGAAGACGTTGGTGAGGATGTGAAGTCTTGATGTATTTGAAGGATGTTGGCGCGCGATTCTTTTGTGTGTATGGCTTGATGGAGAAGCTTGGGCGCGGGCGCGGCTGAGTTTCGAGGTCAAAGATATCCGAGAATTGCGGCGCGAGGCTGGCCTTGTCCAAGCTCCACGTTTGGCGTAGCCACTAATTAAGGCTTCCTCATGAAACTTGCTCCAAATGCCTGAACAGCAATTGAACAAAGAAATAGAACAATAACGCCGAAAAAGGGGTTTTCGGGTGATATAGACATCCTTAACATGTTTCCGCCCTGAATTGTTTAGCAATAATGCCACGATCAACCTGCATATAGTGTTATACTGAAGAGCGCAGCCCTACTTTTTTGGTTCATATAATGGTCATTTTCATTAAATAGTTCATCTGCTCTGTTTGCCATGGCCCCCAAATCCGTCCAAGTCTATAATAACTAAGGTTCGTTTGTGTCAAACGACCCAAGTTCCTTTCTTTATTGCCAATCCCCCATGTGTGTTGTCACCAGTCAATTTCCCCTCGTCGTTGAAATACACACCTCGGAACAAGCATCGCATTATTGTGCAGCTTGATAAAGCTGGCCGTCATGTTTATACAACGCACGCGGGCACTCGTTCATCGGAGATGCCCGCTGTGCTGAAGAAAAGTATCCTGAAAGTCGCATCTATTTACGAGTTGTTCTTGGCATAGTTCTTCTTACCGACAGTGAAGGGTACGTAGCGGTACTTGATCATGTGCTGAATTTGCTTGCGCACTAGAAACAATTAATATACGCAGTTTTCTGTATTTCATATGGAACTTACTAGTCAGGAAGAAGAGGATGAACCAGTACATGACCAGAACGGGCCAGAAAACTGGCACGTTAAAGATCTCGAACCAGCTGCAGAAGAAGCTGATGATGATAGCTCGGGTGGCCCAGTACCAGAACTTAAACTCAGGAAGTCGACGAATAAAGGGCTTGAACTCCTCGTCCTGCTTGGTGGGAAGAGTGCCCACAGAGCCGTCCTCCATCTCGTTATCGGCCTCTTCGTTAGAGGGGTCGAACTTGGGCTGCAGGAAAGCCAGGAACAGGTTTAAAAGATAGATACCGAGCGCATAGGCAACTGCGCAGTAGTAAGTAAGATGATTCAGGAGTATGATTTGCGGGTTCGAGCCTACCGATATACCAGCCCTGTGCAAGAAGGATTCGAAGAAAGAAGAGGAGGAGGCAGACAACAGTACCGACCCATCGGTAGAGGACGAAAGGGGTCGACTGGTCCAGCAAAGCTTGGTATTTCTAATCCGGTGTCAGAAGAGTCGCAATGCATTACAGTCTATTTCGAGAGACATACCCGCTGAAGCCTCGAGGTATGGACGCTGACAGCCTCGAAAGGGGTCTGCTCAGGCTCTGGCGCATTCATCTTGTGAAGAGGATCGGTCGACCGTTGTGAATCGGGATAGTTAATGGGGAGGAGGCGCAGATTATTTGGATAGAATAATCGAGTGCAATTGTGCGGAACAATGACTGCGACGCCGTGAGAAAAGTTGAAGTTGACGGGAAGAAAAAAAGAAAAGAAAAAAGTGATGGCGAATTTGCGATTGGGGGGTCAGGACTCCCAACTTTTGGACCTTTGACGATGCAGCCACGTAAGGTTTGTTAAGCTCTTGGTACGGAGTACAGGCAAGGCTAATCAATTCCCCGGTCCTTTACCGGACAAAGGAGGAGTTGATGAACTGTTGACAGGCAGTTTGTTTGGTGGCGTCCCTGAAACTGACAGTTAGCCTATGATTTTATTGGTGATTCAGCCGAATTGCTGCTGAGTGATCAAAGAAGGCCCTCCTAGGCCCCTTGACCCCACATGCAAATGTGGCGCAGTCTTTAATTATCTATTACTGAGTACCACGTCGTGTCGAGTTGTAAGAAAGCTCATGCTGTACAGAGTATGTATTCAGCGTACAGAATACGGCATATTATATTACTGATCTTACTACCTAGATACTCTGAACAGAGGCACAGTTCAATTTATAAGCTCATCGCTACCTAGATGACGACATTCTATCTTAAAGCTGCGATTTATCCTTTATTCTAGGCGTATACTGAAGGCAATACGATTCCGGTTGTTCCTCTACCGCGTAGCTTGGCCACTACCTCCGCTGCAACATCAATAGACGATTTGTGAAAGAGATTGTCAACGAGTCATGTTGGAGGAGCTCCCATCTTAACCACGAGGAGTTGTTAAGGTGCTTAGATCAATCTCTCACGTGACGCTCAATCATAAATCTGGTCGTCGGCTTTGCCATGGGTATGGGCGGCCCATGTTATCCTCGGCTCTGTTGCGTCACTGGGGAAGCTAAAGCTCTCCGGTTATCAATGCAGCTCCAATACTCCGTACTTACATATAGCTCCTGAGTGATCAAATTCTTAACTCATACAATAGTAACCGTACCAACCCTTTCAATTGTGGAACCAACAGATAACGGTTTTACATCACAATATTGATCGTTCACCGTCTTTTTCATCATATCCATTCTCTAGTATCACAATGAACACTTTCCGCTGCATGAGACCAGTGGCAGGTCGAGTGGCCTTCCAAAGGGCTACTCTTCCTCGCGTTGCTCGAGCTTACAGCTCGGGGACTTATGAGTATATCCAGGTTTCTCAACCCAAGCCCGGTGTCGGACAAGGTATGAATGATACTGAAACAATGCCATTCCTCGGTTTGTACATCGAACAGTATCTAACGATGGTTACCTAGTTACCTTGAACCGTCCCAAGGCCCTCAACGCTCTGTGCACGCCTCTCATCAAAGAGCTTAACCAGGCTCTTCTTGAATTTAATGTGGCTGACGATACGTCAGTCATTATTTTAACCGGCTCCCAAAAGGCGTTTGCAGCTGGTGCTGATATCAAGGAGATGGCCCCTCTTACCTTCGCCGAAGCTTACACCAAGTCCTTCATCGAGTCCTGGTCAGACCTCACCACTCAGGTGAAAAAGCCCATCATCGCTGCAGTCTCAGGGCATGCACTTGGTGGAGGCTGCGAGCTCGCCATGATGTGTGATCTCATCTATTGTACTGAGAATGCGAACTTCGGCCAACCCGAGATCAAACTCGGGACTGTTCCTGGAGCTGGTGGCAGCCAGCGCCTTACTCGTGCCATCGGCAAGTCAAAGGCAATGGAACTCATTCTGACCGGAAAGTCACTTTCTGGTGTCGATGCCGAGAAATGGGGCCTAGCTGCCAGGGTCTTTCCCACGCATGAGGCTCTGATGGAGGAGACGCTCAAGACAGCCGAGACAATTGCTGGCTACTCCAAGGTGGCTGTCCAAGCCGCTAAAGAGGTTGTCAACAAGAGTCAAGATCTGGCCCTACGTGACGGTGTGGAGTATGAGAGACGGGTCTTCCACAGCTTGTTTGGTAGCCAAGATCAGAAGATTGGCATGAAGGCATTCGCAGAAAAGAAGAAGGCTGAGTGGAGCCACTCGTAAGGGCTATTTGTAATTTAACAATGTGCCTTGGCGGCGATTATATAAAAACATGAATGCTATGAAAACCACCACGACGTCCGTCTGTTTACTAGGTGAATCAAGTGTGAAATTGAGATAGTTGTTCACAGGTGGGTTGGACCGCAGGAGAGGTTCGGGGCGACTTTGTGCAATGATAATGCAACAATCCAATGGATCCATGGATGTCTTAAAATACCCCGCGAGCACCTATACATGTACAGCATGTTCGTCTTCATTTGCAGATTTTTCTTCCCTTTCTACAGTATGCTGTGGCCCAACAGTCAACATATCTCTACCTAGATATAACCTGTACCAAAAACCGTGTGTTGTCATTAACAGCTGTTTCTGATAATCCCTGGCAGAGTCTTGACGCCTAGACCGACCCCGCCACCCACTCACACATGGGAGTTTAGTATGTACCAGCAGGCACCTAATGGAGGTCACTTAGGTACTAACTAAGGTACCTTAAGCAGTTAGGTACCTACCTACCTAAGGTATACCTACGAGTACCTACCTTATGATTAGTAGTTAGTAACATACCTAGTACGGGGTAGGTAGCTGGCGTATTGGCTGCATCGTAGCTTTCCTAGCCAACAGCCCAACATCAGTAATCCCTTTGCCTTCGATCAACATATTCTCTTCGGCACAACCTTGTTTCTTCACACGCATCCTATTTTCATCCCAATCATGGGCCGGAATTAGCCAAATATCATGAATGGAGCCCACAAACGCTGGCTTGGACTTGGAAAAGGAGCTGACGTGCTCTGTAAATCTTCCCGCCTTTTTGTCTACAAAGTCTGACCTTGTCTGTAGATCTGCACGGAGCTCCTATACCAGCCTTTGACTCTTCTTGATTGCCTTCACACCTTTTGCGGTGCCTGTCTGAAGGAATGGTTTACTTTCCAGGCTGCGACGGCCGAGCGGGCGCCAAACCCGCCTGCTCCTGGTACAAACATTTTTACATGCCCGTCATGTCGGGCTACTGTACGAACGACCCAACATAATGCGACCGTTGTCACTCTCTTGGATATGTTTATAGCAGCAAGCCCTGGCAAGGATCGTTCAGTAGCAGAGAAGGAAGAGATGGCAAAGAAGTATAAACCCGGCGACCAAGTCCTTCCAACGATAAATACACATCGAACGGCGGATGAGCGGCGCATTGATGCTGAAGACAGAAGGTTGGTGGAGGAGGTCCGAGAACTGAGTTTACAAGAGGCAGGAGTATCTTCGGGGCCACCAAGGACACGGCGGAGGCGTGAGAGTCGATCCGCGGACGACAGAAGAAGGACAAGCAGAGATAGGGAAAGGGACCGAGGTAGAGATAGAAGCGTCGATAGCCGCCATCAGCCACGAGGAAGCCGCCGCCCACGAGTTGACGAGGGAGGTCGGCATAGCTCTGATCAACTCCACGTCGAAGGCGAGAGACGACGTCGACGAAGCGAGTCGAGGCAGCGCCAGATTGAGCACCAGTCATCAATTCGGTCACTAATCAGTTCGGGAGATATGAGTGAGAGGGATATCGAACGAGAAATAGAGTCCTTTGCCAGACAGATCCAGGAAGAAGGTCTCCTCGATGGGCTCGATTTGGACAACATCGATTTGAGTCGCGACGACGAGCTCAGCAGGAGGATCACTGAAGCATACAGACGTCGGCAAAGGGATCGAACACGCCAAGAAACGAGGAGGAACAATGGAAATAACTATCCTCCGTTGACAAGATATGCTGAGAATGCGGCAGTTGGGGATCCTCGCATGTTGGCCCCAGAAGGAGGACGACCAAGAGAAAGGTCTCGACCACATTCTCGATCTGCTAGCGCTGCAAGTGCTACCAGTGCTGCGAGTCAGACAGAGGAACGGAGTCGCCCCCCAACATCTACGACCTCAGCAAACTTGGAGGTCCAGGAGCCAGTCCGAAGGCCTAGGAGACGGACTGCTAGCGGAGGTCGAAGCTCAACCACTCCAGTATTTCCGACCACTACTGAGCCCAGGCCTGCTGCTCGGTCCTCTACGGACCTGGGATCAAGGCCCCAGGCTTCCGACATAACGCAGTCCCGACCTAGCTTTAGCGAGGGACGCAGTACCAGCACACCCATCCATACCGTGCCGTTTCTCAACCCAACAGAAGCGGCTTCATTCAGCAACAATATCGGGAATATGTCATTTGCTAGTCGTCAAGGAACCTCTCAAAGCGCATCGGTCCCTCCTCTATTCTCCCATCATGATGCAACAGCTGGTCGGGCAAACAGACCTCGTCCGGTTGATCTGGCTATTGTTCATCAGACTGTGACCAGCCCGATTAGTAGTCCCACTGTCTCAGGACACCAGAGGACTAGGTCACAGCTCTACCCAGAACCTTCAGTCAGCTGCTCACGATGTAACAAGCAGCACATTGAATATGAGCTCCATTACAATTGCTCCATTTGCGCCAATGGACAGTGGAACATATGCCTCAACTGTTATCGGGCTGGCAAAGGCTGTCATCACTGGTTTGGGTTCGGCCATGGTGCTTTTTCAAAATGGGAAAAGATTCGTCAGCAGAAAGGGGATGCTTCACTACCACAGCCACATACGCTGACCGCTCTCCGTTACCGTCCTCCCCGCTCATCTCCTGGCGGGGCAGACGGACGAAAAACACTGACAACGGACGATCCTCGACATCGCTTGGAAAGCGGTACTTTCTGCGCCAAATGCTCTGCTTGGACGAACGAGTGTTATTGGCGGTGCGATATATGTAACGAGGGCGACTGGGGCTTTTGCAACGACTGTGTAAACCAGGGGAGATCATGCACGCATCCCTTACTTCCAATGGCTCACGAAGCCACCCAGTCTAACCAACACAGGCCTGGAAGTCCTCCCAGATCGCCCGGTCGACCCACGGCAGCAACAATATTTCAAGGCCCTAATGCATCCAGCATCAAACCATTCGAATACTTGTCATTCACCACAAGATGCGACTTGTGTCAGGAGCCCATCCAACCGAATCAAGCACGATACCACTGCTATCAGTGTACAAGCTCTTTGGTATCAGATGCTGCACCAGGTGATTACGACATATGTTCTTCGTGTTATGGGAACTTGATTATACAAAGACAGATCAGCCCTGAAAACGGCCATTCAGGTTGGAGGAGATGTCTTAACGGCCATAGAATAGTAGTCATCGCTTTTACGGATGGGAAGAGTGGGCGATGGAGGTATATAGCCCAGGACTTGGTAGGAGGTCTAGGACTAAAGCCAGAGGCAGCTGATAAGGCAGAACATCGCGAGAAAGGACTTCAGAAATGGGTCTGGCACGAAAATGGTCAAGATCTGGCCCGGCTTGTCACCAAAGACGTGTCAGAAACGGCGCCAAGTGAGAGCAGTTTCGCAAAGAGCTTACCACCTGATGGCGGAGTCGGACTGAAGGCGACCGCGAGGTTTGGATGGTATCCCAGACCGGGAGCAGACGACGAACTTCTCTTTCCAAAAGGAGCGGAAATCAAAGAGATCGAGGATGTGAACGGAGAATGGTTCTTTGGAGCATATATGGGTACTCGGGGCTTGTTCCCTGCGCCATATGTGCGGTTAGAACAAGATGCCTAAAATGCAAGAGCTGACGACGCCGTGATAGACACGCAAGAATCTAATACTTATTTACTTATATAATGGCTGCGTTAGTGATTTGTTGGTACTCAGGCTTCAAGCCGTATGGAAGTCGGTGCGGGACTTGGTCATCCAACACCGACAGCCCGGGATTGCGCCATTGCCGATTGCGGCCCCACCATCCAAATACATTTCCCTTTGATCTCTTCTATAAGCTCAACTTATTCCTTCTGTGGCAAACCCCGACCTGGTGACTGTCAATTGATCTGTTCAAGATCGCGCCACTTCACATATCAAATCATGTTCCGCCCCAGCGCTAGGCGGCTTGCAGCTGCCGCGGCCAAAGCTGCGGGAGCTCCCAGCTCTCATACCCTCGGTGTGTCTCGAGCTCAAGGTGTCTCCAGAGGTTTGACAGGAGGTGCGCCTATCATCAATGTAATCCCGGTCCTCGAAAGGGAATCTGACCTACAATAGCTATTGGAAATACCCCTCTCATCCGTCTAAATCACCTCTCCGAGGAGACTGGCTGTGAGATCCTCGGCAAGGCAGAGTTTATGAACCCTGGTGGTTCCGTCAAGGACCGCGCAGCGCTGTACGTTGTTAAGGACGCCGAGGAGCGCGGTCTTCTCAAACCTGGAGGCACTGTCGTCGAAGGGACCGCAGGAAACACCGGTATCGGTCTCGCCCATGTGTGTCGTTCGCGTGGCTATAAGCTCGTTATATACATGCCAAACACCCAGTCTCAGGGCAAGATCGATCTTTTACGGCTCCTCGGCGCTGAGGTCTACCCTGTCCCTGCTGTCGCGTTCGATAATCCCGAGAACTACAACCACCAGGCCCGTCGACACGCTGAGCGACTCGACAACGCCGTTTGGACGAACCAATTCGACAACACAGCCAATCGCCGTGCGCATATCGAGACGACGGGCCCTGAGATCTGGGCGCAGACAGATGGTAAGGTTGACGCTTTCACATGCGCCACTGGCACTGCTGGTACCCTAGCAGGTATTACGAGGTATCTGAAGGACGTCTCTGATGGCCGAGTCAAGAGCTTCCTTGCCGACCCTCCTGGCAGTGTGCTTCATTCTTATGTGTCCTCCGGCGGCAAGCTTACCGAGCGCACGGGTTCCAGCATCACCGAGGGTATTGGACAAGGTCGCATTACCGACAATCTCCAGCCTGATATTGGCTTGGTGGACGGTTCGCTGCACATTTCAGACGAGAAGAGCATCGAAATGGTCTACCGATGCTTGGATGAGGAGGGGTTGTACCTCGGCGCCAGCTCATCTCTCAACGTTGTAGCTGCCAAGGAGGTCGCTGAGAAGCTGGGCAAAGGTCATACTGTGGTCACTGTCCTCTGCGACGGTGCTTACAGATACGCTGATCGACTGTTCTCGCGAAAGTGGTTGACAGACAAGAAGCTTCTGGGCGCTATTCCCAGCCACCTAGAGAAGTACATCGTTTTGCCTTAGGAAGAGGCATCCCATATAGAAAGAATCTCGTTGTTACATATATAGTACATGATAATTCCCCCGCTATCTGTGACAGATTGTCCTCATGTAGACTCCGGGTCTTCTCAGAGTGCATGAACATTTGTGCTTAATTATCCTCTATATCGTTCCTAGGGCGGGGGCGCAGCAGGCAAATGTTGTTTCCAGCTGGGTTGTCGGCCTGTGGCTCTCTCATACGCCATGTCCCAGCCAAAAGAGTTATTATCGGGACTCATCATAACAAAATCTTCGATGTGTTTTTCCATTAGATCGTGGACAGGCTGCAGGTCTTTGGCATCTTCACCGGTGATCTCCTGTGCTAGTTCTATCGCCCTTATGTTTTGGGCAAGAGTCCAAATGTAGTTGAAGGGAGAAAGGTGTTGCCTTTCGCGTACGTAGTTGTCGCTGTTGGGCTTGACTCGGCTGTTGATAGAATTCAGGTAGGGTGAGCTTGTCAAGTCATCGGATTCTCGTTCAGCCCATGCGCTGGTGATAAACTCAACATTGTCTCGAAGCTCTCGGATCAAATCATCGACGGGAGCACCGGCTGCCTGCTGCTCCTTGACTGCAGATGCTTGGGAGAAGAGAATCATACCCCGGATGACGGGGTTCATATGAGGCTGACGGCGAGGGGGTGTGTTCTTAGCAAGGTGCTCAGGGCGCTGGATGATATCCCAGACCATTTTGTTCCACTTTAGAGCCTGTTGCGTCTCGCTCTCCTCTCCTTTCGGGGATATGATCTTACGGTTAATAGATCCTAACAGCAGGATGACAGTGCTGTCCCGCTGTAGACTTAGTCCGGTCTTTTCAACTTGCTGGGCGCATTCAATGACCACATACGGCTGCCTATTATGGCCTGCACGTCGAGTCACGGCGTCGGCATGCCAGCGTTTGAGTTTAATTCCAGCTTTCTTATAGCCAGCGAGCAGGGTGCTTATGTTATCCCATTCCTCCTTAGTTTTCATGAGCTTTGTTGCCTCTGCAAAAGCCTTCATCGAGTTTGGGACACCGTTGAATCGATCAATCGTCTTGAAAGTGTGCTCGAGCCCATCGACTTCGATGGTGACGGGATTTCGCTGGATGTAGTCGCTCTTCTTGGGGTCGAAAACGAGCTTCCTCGCTTTCTCCGGTAGATGGGCAGGGAGAATGATCTTTTCTTGAATTTCGATGAGAATTTCGTTCAACTGAGGATTTTTGGTCTCGGCGAACACTGCACTGAAACCTTGTCGATTGTCAGCTTCCTATATTATAAGTGTTGCAGTTTTTTTTTCACTTACTGCGTGCAGAAGATATACTGAAGCGTCTGTACTGGATAGCAGGCAGTGCAAGGGACGTCCGCGGGCCAGCCACAGGCCTCAAGCCCAAAATCAAGGATCTGTTCAGCATTGTGCTGACTGTCCCACAGAGCTGTGATAATTTTTGAGGTTTCAAAGCTTGGGCAATTCCTACTAGATCGGAAGGTACTAGGTAAGTAGGTTCATAGGAAGGTACTATTCTGCATCCCATGGATGGGAAAAGACACCGGATGAACTGTCAGCCGAGCCAATCAGCAGGGAGAATTGAAAGCATCGGGAGCAAGGTAGCTCCAGAAATTCTAGCGCCTGTCTCAACCTCAACTACTTGTATAACTCACAATAAGTCAATTTACGATGAACCTCGCCATCGTGGGACGGCCAGTTGGCTGTCTCAAATCTGCTCTTCGACGGACAAGACTCCTGAGGACTTTCGAAAGGAGGGTTTCCTCAGCAGCCGTTGAGCCTGTGCCCAAGCCGATACCGAACGCTTTCAGCGCTGAACAACGTATGTATCTTTACGATCTGCAATATTGCGAAAACAAAGTCGCTGACATTTAACACCAGGGGCGGACCTCAAGAAGGTTAGCAAATTTCATATCTACCCTCGAGTCCCGAGTATCCGTACCACCCACCCGGATCCCATGCCCGCACTTCTGCAAAAGCAACTCGCGAAACTCGATCCGACTGGCGCACGCACACGATTGTTCTCAAGAGAGCACGCCGACAGCGCTAAGGTTGGCGACGTTCTGATGGTGACGACGAAGGGTGGGGAGCCCTTTGCCGGCGCTTTTATACAAATCCGACGCCGAGGCCAGGATACAGCGATCCAACTGCGTGGACAGATGATGAAGGTTGGTGTGGAGATGTGGTTCAAGATCTACAGCCCGACTGTGACGGGTATCGATATCATCTGGCGACGGCCCAAGAGGGCACGACGAGCACGCCTCACGTACATGCGGAAGCCCAAACACGACATGGGTAGTGTGGATCAAATGGTGTTTGCATGGAAGAAGGAGAGATATACCCTACGGTCACGAGCAACTCAGTCTGGAAAACCCTCTGGAAGACAGCATGCCAAGATTCTTGGACAGAAGAAGAAGTAGACGAAAAGATGCACGGAATGTGGTTGTATGATATATTGTGTATAAGAACTTATTGAGACACGTAAAAATCATTTGCTCAAATCTATTCCTATTATGCCAGTAAGCTAAAGGATGAAATGATGGTCTTCACTGATTGTATAATAGCATGGGAACCTGTAGCTACGACTCTAGCGTCAGACCATTTGATTGAACTGTTTTATATACTGCCAGGTCGCCAAACACATAGCTCATTGTACGGATTCCTAGCCATTACTAATCGCATACTCAATGGTGTTCATATTATCGATCGTTAAAAGTAGCCTGTTGTTGACGATCTTTCTGTGGTACAGGTCAGGGTATATATTTCATAGTGAACAAAAACGCGGCCAATCCTCAAGAAGCTGGGGGGATTCGTCCGATGCAATGTCGGACTTCTCGATATCCTACTGTATTTATTCGAGTGTCGCGGTATATGTTCATGCAAGCTTGTTTGAGTGTGGAAGATCGAAACAGGTCTCGTCTGATGTTGATTATTTCTGTGAAAACCATGCCATACTCATCATTTGTTTGAATCCCTACAGGTGCTAGAAGGCGTTCGAACACGATGAGCCTCGTAGAAGACGCAGAATAGCATCGTCGACATGGCATGAGAATATTCAAAACTGCCCTGGTTAATCAATTCATGTAAAGCGTTGGACATTGTTGCCAGTTCCTGGTTCAAATTCGGTTGAAGCTACTAACCTTTCAACTTCTCAACTACCAATAGAATGTACTAAGCCCGTTGCATAATACTAGGGTTTCACAGAAGGTTCTACAAGACGTTAATTAATAAACGTTTAACCTAGCCGTTTACTCTGTATACACATTGACGTTTATTAGCTTGACCTACCCCCAATGACAGGCAGTTGAGACAGCCCAGCGCCATGCATCGGGATTTACAGCCGGTTGATCGACCCCAGCGTTTCGTTCCTCGCGCAGGGTCCATCCACCCTGGTCAAAATGAACCCTCGAAATTCAACGGCTCACAGTATGTTTCTCACTCGAAGGAATGCTAGTTGTTTCAAACGAACCAACGAACAAAAAGGAGAAGACAAAAAAGACATATCAAATTAGTCCCAAGTCTATTTATATCACACTGTGCATTGTCTCGAGGATGTATCCTGGGGAAATCCACGGTACGTTCTCATGCGAGGAGGTGTACGGAGTAGGATGCTTGGGATCAACTGATAGAACCCAACGCCCAGGTATAAACCTGACGACCGCCTCACCATTTGGATGTGCAACTTATTTATGGCCAATTGCCTACCTTTTCAGTTACCGTGTGTGGCCATAAAAAATTTCAGGTCGAAATTTCTTGCAGGGAACGGATATTCAACATCAATTCAAATCGACAAAACCCCGGTCTATCAACAGTTAGGCCCATTAACTAACGTTAGCCACTCCTAGCAAGCGCTGAAAGACAGCTAAAAATGGACGTTACGAAGGATTCCGCTCAGGGGATGCTTCCACTGCAACCCGGCAACGTGGTGGGCAACGAGAAGTTCCCCAATTTTTGTTTACACGCGGACGCCCAATCCAGCGACGACTGCGACTGCGACCAGCAGCAGCGCTACCAAGGGAACAGAGAAGACTACTACGCCTACCACGCAGATCTCAGCATCAACAACAACAGCAATTGTAATCAGCATCATCAACATTTCCACAATTCTCCATCCGCTTCAATATCGGCATCATCTCGCTTATCGTACATCTCCACCGTCTCGGCCTCGGCTTCATCTTCATCCTCAAGGATATCTACCGCTTCATTCGAGTCACTTCCTATTACCCCAATTTCCGTATTCGAGGCCTCCCCACACTCTCCTCGCTGTTTGTCTAACAGGCTCTCCTCGCCCGTCACTGGATTTATCGCCCGTCATCGAACACTCACACAGAATTATTGTTCGCTCTCATACTCTCCACCATCTTCACCGACCCCACGCACAAGGCGGGACAAGTTACAGCTGCATGCGACTCGAGTGCAGCGGTCAGGCAGCAAATCTACAAATACAACATTTATTCTAGGTCTTCAGAAAAGGAAACTGTCAACCAATTCGCGAAGGTTTCCGCCCAGCGCATCTAATCCTGCAGACGCTCTTGCTGCTGTTGAGCCTCCGCATGACCAGAGGTTGACGAGAATGGCTTTTGCAGAGCAGCAAAGATGGGTCACGGTCCAACAAAAGACCTTCACAAAATGGTATTTATGTTTTGAAATTTTGGCCTGCAGTATGCTCACGTCCTTTTCCCAGGCTCAACACGAAGATCGAGGCTCGAAACCTTGAGGTTAAAGACCTCGTGAAAGATCTTAGCGATGGTGTAAGTTTACTTTCTGTATGATTTCCCCTGACTGTTACTGACATCTATGCATAGGTCATGTTGATTCATCTCCTCGAATGTCTTTCACACGAATCGCTCGGCCGTTATGCCTCAAAACCCAAGCTTCGAGTACAAAAATTTGAGAATGCGAACCTGGCACTTGACTTCGTCAAGTCCAGGGGTATTCAAATGACCAACATCGGTGCTGAGGATGTGGTTGATGGCAACCAAAAGATTGTTCTTGGTCTCATCT